TAACGAGAAAAGATGTTGTTAAAACGTCATAACATCTCGTTATTACAACATAATTGAGTGGGAAAACTCAAACACACGTGTGTGGCAGCAATGCGTCACTGTCGTCTTTAATGTCATCCTGTTCTGCCGTCCTTACTGTCATCCTGTTCTGTCATCCTACTGTCATCTCATTCTGTCATCTTACTCTGTCGTCTTCACTGTCATCTTATTTTGTCGCCTTTACTGTCATTTAGGGCTGCACGATTAATTAAAATTGGAAAGGCGATAAATTGCAATTAGGCAGAAGCTGTGATTGTCATGCGTATCTTTTAGTGAAGCACGGTTCTGTGATCAGCAGTAAATCTCCATCCGAAGGCCAGAGGGTGCTCTCGCGCTGAAACTCCAAATACGCCTTGCAGAAGAAACCCAGGTTGCTGAATAAACAGATTTAACTGCTTTCATTAATTCAACGTGACTAATAAACACACGACTACGACAATATCTGAGTTATAATTTTTATTATAATAAAGTATATAATAATGCAATGCTGATCGACATAGCCTTTATCACTGCTTGGAATACTATGAAATATGTTGTGTGCCTTATTCTGTGTAAGAAGCCACATCATCTCACAGAAGGATTTATTTCAAACACTCGACTGACGTTAATGAAGTGAGTTTGGAGTAAAAACATGTTATTAAATGTGGTATTTTCACGTGCTTTCAGATGGAACAGCATTTACTACACAGAGCCGTAGTTCACTGACAAGCTATGAAAAATAAAGAGATTTTCTAATAGGCTAATAATAATAATAATAATTATTATTATTATTATTATTTCGTTCTGTTTGGCAAACGGGCAAACTAAAATTAAGCTAGATTTTTCTTATTTTTTCTAAGCTTTCTATTTGTGCATGGAAAAACGCTTCTTAAAACGCCTAAAAACGCCACTTTTTCTCTCAGCCTGTCTTTACTGCCTATCCCATCACACAGAATAAGAGTTAATCTCATGTACCGCTCTGCAAATTAGTCACAATAACGTTTCTTCAAACTGTCAGGCTGTTGTATAGGCTATATTTCTTGCAAATATAGATCTCATAAACTGTCTGGCTGTTGTATAGGCTATATTTCTTGCAAATATACATCTCATAAAGCACAACACTGCTCTTCTCGGTTCAGCAGCGCCGGCGCGATCCCTTGGGCTACACTGTGATAACAGAGGAAATAAATGTCTGCTTTATTTTCTATACTTCCACAATAACAATAAAACGTTACATTGCTTTTGTAAAATAACTGGGTGCGCTTTCTGGTGCACCTTGTTATGTCTAAAGGTCTACTTAAATAAAACAATCAAAAACATTTTTCGAAAAATTTATTTAATTCATATAGCCTAAATCCAACAATACTGTACAGTCTTTCCCATCTGAGCTCATCTGTATTTTGTGCTCACACCCAGGTGCAGTGCAGCCTATTCCTTCAGTATAAAGCAAAGCCTGACATTTTACCCATAAGAAGAACACAATGCGATGCGTGGCTTGATTCAGCTAAAGATATAATTTAATAATATATAATCACTAATACATTAATATATAATCAGACTAAAGTATCAAAGCTGCCCACACATGTGAAACAAATATTAAAGCATAAGCTCATTTGTTTACCCACGAACAAAAATAGGCCTAGCTTAAAAAAAAAATCTAGCTTAATTTTCATTTGCTCGTTTTCAAACAGAACAAAATAATAATAATAATAATTATTATTATAATTATAATTTTATTATTAGGCTATTATTATTATTATTATTAGCCTATTAGAAAATCTCTTTTCAGTTATTGGAGTGCAGTTATTGGATAGCATTATATTGTAGACAGATTGGAGATTAATCCTTATAAACATGCCGCTACAATTAAAACCATTACATTACAATTAATTTAAAACCGCGTATTTCAATAATTTCAGCAGCGTGCAGAGTTTATGTCAGACTGTGGCGACAGCAGCGCGGACAGTCGATTAGCTCGCTCACATATACCATATATCTATAATAACAGGAAAACATATCGTTTTTATGACATATATGTCGTTATTACGAGAAAAAATACGTAATTTTAATGAGAAAATATGTCGTTTTAACGAGATAATTATGTCGTATTAACGACATGACGTCTCGTTTTTCTGAGAAAATATGTAGTTTTAATGAGAAAACATCTCGTTATTACGAGAAAAGATGACGTTTTAACGAGAAAAGATGTTGTTAAAACGTCATAACATCTCGTTATTACAACATAATTGAGTGGGAAAACTCAAACACACGTGTGTGGCAGCAATGCGTCACTGTCGTCTTTAATGTCATCCTGTTCTGCCGTCCTTACTGTCATCCTGTTCTGTCATCCTACTGTCATCTCATTCTGTCATCTTACTCTGTCGTCTTCACTGTCATCTTATTTTGTCGCCTTTACTGTCATTTAGGGCTGCACGATTAATTAAAATTGGAAAGGCGATAAATTGCAATTAGGCAGAAGCTGTGATTGTCATGCGTATCTTTTAGTGAAGCACGGTTCTGTGATCAGCAGTAAATCTCCATCCGAAGGCCAGAGGGTGCTCTCGCGCTGAAACTCCAAATACGCCTTGCAGAAGAAACCCAGGTTGCTGAATAAACAGATTTAACTGCTTTCATTAATTCAACGTGACTAATAAACACACGACTACGACAATATCTGAGTTATAATTTTTATTATAATAAAGTATATAATAATGCAATGCTGATCGACATAGCCTTTATCACTGCTTGGAATACTATGAAATATGTTGTGTGCCTTATTCTGTGTAAGAAGCCACATCATCTCACAGAAGGATTTATTTCAAACGCTCGACTGTCTTTAATTAAGTTAGTTTGGAGTAAAAACATGTTATTAAATGTGGTATTTTCACGTGCTTTCAGATGGAACAGCATTTACTACACAGAGCCGTAGTTCACTGACAAGCTATGCAAACAGCTTTCATAGTCGTAGAATGATTTTTTTTGTATTCTTAATCGCGCGATTAAATCGGCTGCTATTATGAACGCAATTTTATGTAGCTTGCCAGTGAACTACGGCTCTGTGTAGTAAATGCTGCTCGATCTGAAAGCACGTGCTGGAGATTCTGTGCCGGTGGCGGTTAAGTGATACTACTAATCACAGAACCGGCTTTACTGGCAAGATGCGCATGACAATCACATTCGATTAATCGTGCAGCCCTACCGTCGTCCTTACTGTCATCTTATTCTGTCGTCCTTACTGTTTTCTTCTTTACTGTCATCTTATTCTGTCATCTTTACTGTTATCTTATTCTGTCATCCCTACCGTCATCCTTACTGTCATCCCTACCGTCATCCTTACTGTCATCCTTACTGTCATCTTTACTGTCGTCCTTACTGTCATCTTATTCTGTCATCTTCACTGTCATTTTATTTTGTCGTCTTTACTATCATTTTACTCTGTCCTCCTTACTGTCATCTGTCTTCCTTACTGTCTTCTTGTTCTGTTGCCTTTGATGTAGTTTGATGTAGTATTATTTATGTAAATTGTGTCAAATGTGTACAGATGCAAAGACTTCACAGTAGTGATGTCCGGTTCGCGAACGAATCGTTTGATTTAACCGGTTCTTCTTAGTGAACCGGTTGAACCAGTTCACCAAATCGGACTGAATCATTTGAAATGGTTTGCGTCTCCAGTAAGCATTAATCCACAAATTACTTAAGTTATTCACTTTTTTAAACATGGCTGACACTCCCTCTGAGTCTAAATAAACCAATATCCCGGAGTAATTTATTTACTCAAACAGTACACTGACTGAACTGCTGTGAAGAGAGAACTGAAGATGAACACAAGCAGAGCAGCCGGATAACGAACATACAAGCCCACTGCTGGAGCGGTTCTCGTTCTCGAGTCAAGAACCGGTTGCATCGGTTTTCGGATCACCAGTACACTGAACCGAGAACCGTTTCTTTCGGACACGTCCGATTTGAGAACCAATGAGCTGATGATACTGCGCATGCGCGATTCAGCGTGAAGCTACCGAACAGATT